AGCCTTCTACTCTCCAAGGACGAATCGATATCGGATTCGTCTGGGAGGATAAGAACACTGGATCGTTGGCAAGTCGTATAGACCACATCGTATTCAACAAGCCACTACGACCCTGAGTGAAATTAGAATGCTCGCCGCATCCCACAAAGGGATTGTTCAACGGCGAACTTGCTCCTTTATCAGGCCTCTTCTAGCCCACTTCCCATACACTCGCCATCCGGGCAGTTGATTAGGGCGGTCGTCAAAGGGCCGCAGACGCGGCTGCAGCAGCGACCGCGTGCGTAGGAACTGTTTGCGGCGATCAGCTGTTTCCGGCCTGGTTTAGTCATTTTCTCCCTACTTTTCACTGTTTTTGGCTGCTTTTTTCAAGGTTAGCTGTTCCTTGTCTTCACAAGGTAAATTATGATTGAGATTTTTCTAACTTTTGCGAACAATTAAACGATTAAACAAACAATAAAAAAATCGCGAAAAATACTCCATTACAAGAACAAAAACAAAACAGTTTATATACTTCATATAGACCATAACGCTACTTACCTTGGAAAAATAGGAAATACAGTGAAAATTAGGGAGAAAAACGCTAAATTAGGCTGGAAACAGCTGATCCCGCGGTCGTCGCCGACTAAGGCATTGTTCACAGTCTGCGGCCCAGCGTTTCTCTAGAAAGAAACGCTCGGCGAAAAGCTTTCGATACGTATCGATTGGCGGTTGGGCGAAAGGGTTTTGATACGAATCGACGGGCGTTTCGCCGAACCGCGGCGTTTTTCGCCGCTAGCTCAACCGCCCTGGCGATTTTCGAAATCGATATGCATACCGCGGCGGTTTGGGGGTTGGGCGGTTGGTGATTCTCCGATCAATCCGTATTCTTTGCTTTTAGCCCAACTGCCGTTTCGTGAGGGATCACAGACAGTGAACAATGCCTATCAACTGCCCGGATGACGACTTTACGTCATGTGCTGTAATGGAAGTCAATAATACAAGGGAATGGGTAGGTATCCCAGCTGCGAAACTGGGGTGAACGGAAAAAAGAGCCGATGTATCTGTCATATGAGCCAGTTGATCTTTCCTCCCTCCCTCAAAGTGCGCTCCCCTTGGAAACCCCATCCACTGGCTATCACATGTTCTTTCGCATGTGGGAACTTCCGTCCTCCATCTATTTGTCTGCGCTATGGCGTTTCTTGTGAGCATCTTGTCAAAAGTTCGAGTAGTCACGTAACTCTGAAAAGGCCACGTATCGGTCCCTTTGATGCCTGCAGAAAAAAGCCCCGAGGCAGATTTTGTGGAAAAAGGCGGCCACTTTGATAAGTAGAGCCTCATTGAGGGCAGAACTCACGATCACTTATGGTTATCTGAGCTCTTCGTAAGGAGAGGTGGTGTGGACTACAATGAACAACCCTGTATCTTCCATGCTAGAAAGTGGTAAGGTAGCGGCGGTAAGGTGGACGGTAGCTCATGCGGCTCCGCCCGCGTTGATAGATGTCCTGTCTGCTGTCTTGCTCGTTCGCATGCTCACCGTCTCAGGGCACATGTCAACCGGGAAGCTTCTCCCCTCCTTCCTTTTTCAACTCCTTCCTTCTTTTTCTTCCTTCCTTCTCTGATCCCTCCTCCTTACTTTACCCCTTCGCAGCAGGGCAGATCAAACTATAGAACCGGTCACTCTCTCCATAACGACACTCACTACCTATCTGATAACTGCAAATTTTGTACAAAAATCTCAATCTGGCCACAAACCTGTTTCGGACCTTTCTTCTAAATTTTCGCCTTTTTAGGCTGTAACAGGTGGTCTGTGTTCAGTGGTATAGTGATATAGTGTTGATTTCCACTATCTAATGGCCACGCGTGAGTTGGACTGTAAAGTACTAAATAGTAACACAACACTGTGTTAGTCAATGCGCACGTTGTGAAAGGATTAGCTGATTTCGTACTCCTTACCATTAGTGAGAGCCTGAGGCGGCGGTCCCTAGTTCCCTAGTAATCAACTACTCTTCATATACCCTACCGTAGATAGAATAATAGTCTGCTCTAGGATCTGAAAGACCACCTACTTAGGCATTGATCTGCCTGCTCAGATCACGTAGTCTCGGCTACACGCCCAGGCGCCTCGAATTGTGTCGCCCCATCAAGCTGCTCCTCAGCTTGAATCAGCGTCATCCGTATCCTCTTCGCTGCACTCGCTCCCTTAATCTGGCACCGAGCAGAGTGCTCGATGGTGTCCGTTCTTAGGGATCGTCATCTTCCCCACCAGTACCAGCATGTCTTGTCTCAATCTCTGCATTTGCTCCTGCATCGCATTAGCCGGTGCTCATATCTTCTTGCGTCGATGATAATCCTCACACTTCCTCGCTATGCATGCATCTCATAGGAGTCCGAGTAATGAGCGCCCCTCTTCTTGCAAAAGACACATACAATGAAGGGGTCGATCTTCGAGGCATCGCCGAGTTTCCTTTGTAGCAAGACTCTAAGGCCGAACTGCAGTCCTGCCAGTTCTTTCTCAAGCAAGTCTTGTGGGGTTCTCTCGCGATACTTGAATTCTCGTACGTTGTTATTATCGTCTTCCTCATCATTGTTTTCCTTTATCAATCTGTCGAGGAAATCATCATCCGATATTGCAACACCTTGTTGAGCGACTTCTTCGGAGTCTCCTTGATCCTCCAGTTTCTGCCTTGTAACTAGGCTTTCATCCAGTTTGACGTTCCTGGCTAGTTTTTTTTTCAGGTGCTCTTCCATACGCTGAAGAGTTGCCTTCACCTCGGCGTTGCTGTTGACGTTATTGAAAGTAAGGGTGTTCAGCACAGTCTTCTCTTTATTTATGAGGTCAGTCGCCCTTCTCGCACGTCCACGATTCGATCCAATATTTTTAGATGTTCTTCGGCCAGCTTTATCACTTCTCTTGTATTGAAGCCGTTCTTTGGATATCGCTCCTCTTCACCATCCATGCGATGCCGTTTGCTAGGACGACCATCATCAGTTATTAGAGCCCGCATAGCGTCCAAGAATAGCAGTCTCTGCACTAGGCGCTTCAGTTACTAGAGGTCGCACTTGTAGTGTTGAGCAGCTGGTTTGCTTCCAACAGGCGGCTCCGCCCACTGTTAGAAGCTCGCCCACTTTCGAAAATGGAATGACAACCTGACCTAGGTTCATCTTTATTGCCTTTTCAAGGGTAGAAAGGTGAGGCCATTTGCGTGGACTGCATAAAGTCCAAAAATCCATCGTATATCTACAAACAGTGGCAAATATGCAACAAACAATGACAATTATGCCTAACGTATTAAGAATCGTAACCATAGAGTGAGATCTGAGATCCAAGGCAAAATAACAAGGCACATATCGTTTTGGTTAAGACACTTAAAATCTTATCAATACAATTCTATAAAATAACTATAATAAATTTTAGCACTTAATTTGGCAGACAGACCAGTACATACTATTTACAAAGTTACAAGATCTGCTGATGGAGATTTCAAGGCACGAACTGCTCGACAGAAATTCCTATTTCTACGTCACGATAGGCAAAATTGTAGGTCTGTTCTGAGATGTAAAGCACTTGCTGAGCATGAGTGCTAATCCAGTTTCTGAGCGCCGATTCGGTCCCATGCACTTTCTCGAACAGTAACGAGCACCGTGGAGAGAAGTGGCCTTTCTGGAAAGAATAAACAATTAGGTTAAATAATGCAGTCCCCATCCAGCCACTCCCATTCACACACTTTTGTTCGACGTCGTACTTACACTCTGGCATTTAACCTTTCCAACCCACATTCAATTGTCGCTTGCAACAATTGTTCTTATCTCTGGAGTGCGCCATGCGTTCGATCTTCCACGTGGAGAAATAGCTAAGGCAGCGTCCAGACTTCCCGCGACCGCAGCGCCTCGGTCAGGCGGTCGGCGCGATCGCATAGAAACGCATGCTTTCGACTGTATCGATCGCGTCGAAAGCGCGACCGAAGCGCTGCCGACACGAAGTCTGAAAGCTGCCTAAGGCCAATTTGTACTTAATTCCTGCGTAGCTCCTCCGTGCAAGCTGGCAAGAAGGTAGCATTGCCTCCATGCCGCAATAGAATGGTGTGAAGATCTTGGAGCTGTAGAAATACTCACCTCCAGTAACTCAAACATTTTCGCAAGAGAAAAGTCTGTAGATATGGAATCCACCCAAAACGACTGTAATCCTTGTGGACAAGCGATCGACAGCGGTATCAGTGCATCTAAGGTGGTATCGTCGGCGGTGATTGTCTTCGACGTTGTTCGAATTCTAAAACAGCATCACTGAGATCATCACAATACATCTTGCATCGTACTGATTGATTACCCTAATTCTAAAGGGAGTGTTGTTCAAGGCGGGAATCACAGCACAGCACACTGAGAGATTTTCCAGATGACACCTAGATGACGACCCTTTCTTTATCGTGGTACTGGTCAGACGCGGGAGTGCGGTACCTTTTTTCGTGGGCCAATTATTCCCCAATCCCTAAACCCAAAATTAACGGTAGTGTTTTGTCGAAGAGATGCTGTTCCAATTCTATAGACCATCAAAGTTCCACCACGCGGTTCACAAAACAGGGTCGAACCGGATGAGTTTTCTCACTATCAGAAAAGGCCTACTTTCAACCCTCCACCCCAACATTTCCTTCAATAATGCGCTCTAGGCTTACTTGCGAGCTGTATCTACCATGTGCGAAGTGAACAGGTCTTCAGCACTGGAAGCATGCATTTTTCATTGCTTGGAAACGCCTAGAAATGAAGCTGGGGGAGGCGGGTGGTGAGTAGGGGGGGGGGTAAAAGGAGGATAGTCTCGAGTTCCATCCGCTGCTTAGCAGACATGTGTGATGCCCCGCAGCGAACAACATCATCCGTGAG